ATATCTTCATACAAATTTTATGATGTGAGGTAAATAGTCATGTTTCTATTTTTATTGAGTGAGATTTAGGGGCGCTGGGACTTACATAGCACATGTGGATTTTTCCCATTGCTTCATCAATTCCTATGTAGAGAAAAATAACATATTTTCAGATTATTTTTCTTCCTGAGTATGCCAATCATCATGCCTAAAACAGGGGGAAAAGTTCACAGATACAATGAAGAGAAATACAGTTTCAATTGCTTTAAGGTTCACCTTTGAATTTCACTGTGGCCAGAAGAGTGCCATGACCTTTAACTTTGATAAAAAGAGAAAGTATTTATTAATCTTATTATCTTGTTTTGAAGTTCTCCCAAAGTGGACTCTATACCACATTTCCACAAAATAACAAGAGTTGGCATGAGCTCATTATTGTTATTATGAAGATCATTCCTGACAACTTTAATCATATATATTCAGTAGATTTACTTAATATTAATTCTCTTTGCAAAAAAACCTCTCTACTATGTAGGAATTATGACCATTTTTAACAATTTATTTATATATGATATTTGTGCTTTAGTTGCACATTTTAAGTGTATCTTATTTCCTCCTTACGTTTGCTTTGACATTCTAGCACTGTTTGTTATATGTGATATCTGAGCAATGATACTTTACTAAGAAAATCACCCTCTACTGTAGAAGGCTGATTAAAACAAAAAAAAATACAACTATAACATAATTATATAATTTGCAATGTTGTGATAAACTAAATAAGTTTATTTTATATGGTGAAAACCAGATGAGAAATAATTTTTTAAACTGATTGTATTTTTTTTTTTTTTTTTGCCAGATACTATGTGAGGAGAGATATTCACCCACCTAACTTTTAAAAAGTGTTGTTGGGCTTATATACTATTGTTCTTAGCTTAATAATAAAAAAAATGATTAAGTGAAATTTGCTATAAGAACATAGTCCGTGAGTGTACAATAATTATATTTATTGAAGAATGTTATGTTTTGCTTTCATCAGATTAACGTGGCTATCATATGGATCCCTAATCATAATCCCAAAATGCTTAATGAATTCGATGATATATGGGAATGCAGAATCTGAAGTTTCAGGAAAAGTTCAGTTTGATGATTATTCTAATTCAAGACAGCCAAAAAATTTCATAAAGTTAAGAGGATTTTGTGCTTACAATCTATGAAAATGGGAGAATGAGATGAGGAAATTAATGGAGCAGTAAATAATTTTTTAAACTCTCAAACGATGTTCCATGAAAGATGTGATGTCAAAGAAACTTAACTACTCAGCATCGCATAGCTGTACAAAATGATGAAAATTAGGATGAGGATAAGGGATGATGGAAAGATGGATGTGTGTATATTATTATTTAGCTAAATACTCAAGAATCTACCTATCTAATCTATCTTTAACCCAACAGTACTTAACTAAAATTCATGTAGTTTTAATCAATAATTTATAGTCATATACTGTTCAATGAATCCTATCTTTCATGCTTCACATTTATGTGCTCTGGGAAATAGCCATGTGATAGTTCACCAAACGATGATATGCATATATGTGTGGTGGTGAGTCTAACTTGCAGATGTCTGTTCTTAGGTGAACAGAGGTCGCGGGAAATTTCGGAAGTACACGTTCAAAGATGGGATAGCTAAAACTTGGTGAATAAAGAAAGGGAAAAAAAAAAAGAAATGCCAAAGAAATTATAGTCACTATGATTATGCAAATACTTCAGTGAGGAATTGGACAGGAAAGTCTGATGATCTTCACATTCCTTTCCTTCAGTGCCGAGCTAATAATGGCTTTGATCACTGAAGTCTACTTAGATGTGAAGATTTATTAAATTCTATAAAGAAAGGTTTTAAATGCTTGGTGTTAAATCACCCACTGGAAGAGAAACTTCTGGAGCAGCAAATGTCTTAGGTTGTAATTTTGTAATGTAGGCAAAAAGAATAATGATTTCTATTTGATTTAATATCTCAAAGAAATTATTTTTAAGTCTGGAACAAAGGGAGATGGTGAAACATGTCTCATTTTATCTTTGGTTGTAAAATATTACCTTATAAGAAATATAGAGAAAATTTCAAGGCTAACAATCACTGATTAAGATTTATTACTGTTAAAAATAATTACATTTAGTATAGTATCTGAGAGTTATTCCAATATAAAATAAGTAAAATATTCCCTGAAGATTTGGAGGTTCAATGTACTCCCAACATCTAAAAGAAAGAGGCTTAAAGAACATGAAAGCACGACTTCCTTGCCTGCAATAAATACTAGGCTTCAGCCATAGATAAATTAGAAAATTATATTGTTAACAAATAACACCCGTCCTACTGAGAGAGCTGAAGATTTTCTGTAAGGTTGCTACTGTTCCTATCTTCACCCTCCATTTCACACTCTCTGCTAGCCTTAGGCTCTAAAGCATATTTTTTGTAACATCCTGAATTATATAAAATACATGATGTTCTTGTCAGAACATAATCTGCTAAATTAGCATTTCATCCACCAATTCTCAGGTAATTTCAGTCTGTCATTTCAGTATAATAATGACCTCAGAGATTTTTTTTTTTAATCTCTATAATAGTGGTTCCCAACCTTCCTAAATGATATAACCCTTTAGCAGTTCCTCATGTTGTGGTGACCTCCAACCACAAAATTATTTTTTGTTGCTACTTCATAACTATAATTTTTCTCCTATTATCAACAATAATGTAAATTTCTGATATGCAAACTATCTGATATACAGCCAGTGTGAAAGTCATTCAACCCTCAAAGGGTCACAGTCCACATGTTGAGAACTGCTACTCTCGAAGGACAATAAATTATAGTAAAGATTATTCTCGTATGTTAACGTTAGCCCCAGTCTACTTTTTAAAATAAGGTGACATGAATAATAAATCATAGTAGTTTGGAAAAAACTCAATATAGCTGAACACATTTAGTTGTGTACATATCGGCTTTATAATGAAATGGGTATGTAATCAGTATGAATTTTTCACCGAGGCATAGAAAACATTCTTAGTGGTCAGTTAGGAAGACTTGACAGATATAAAGTTACATAAAATGATGAGAATTTTGCTACTAAGATTTTGCTTTAAGAACATATTTGCAAAATCTTTCCAAGCATCTGTGAACTGTGCTGAGAATCAGAACTTGTGAACAGTTGGAAGAGTTTTTTCCTAGGTCATACATCTATAAAAACACACATGAGAAACAACAAAACTTTCTAAAAAACAGAATATTTCATTCATTGTTCACCTAATTTTGTATACCCATTGCATTACTCTGATTCAATGTTATAAAAAGAGCCATACACCTGGATTTTTACTTCCCTGCTTTAATGATGTACTTATAATGTAGTCTATCACAGAGGCTATGTACTAAAAATTAAATTTCATGTATGTCTTCTACAAAGCAATTGAACACAAAGCTGAGTAATTGCTTTAACCATTACACAGTAATGATATTAATTTTCATTTGAACCATGTTCCATGCTCATAAATTAATGTTATCATTCTTAATCAAATACTTGTGTGCTTCAAAGAAATCAGTGCTATCCATTGTGCTGCTTATTCTGTAGTTTGTTTGAAACTAGGTTTTGCTCATGACTTGAGTTTGCTGGTAGGATGGTTTCATGGATTATGACCATGTTTTATGAGAGCCAATACTGTTTTTACAAATATCAAAAATAACACACCTGGTATGGCAGAGACCTGATTAGTTGTAACAGAGATCTCGTGTTGCAGTAATGCAGTATCCACCGCACGGAGAGAGTCTCACTTGGAATGCTACAGAAAGCTTTCCTTTCATAGTCTACAAGTATTATCACTGTGGCGACATTTGACAGGCAATTTAATTCAGAAGTCAGTGGTGCGTCAACCAAGGACCATGCACGGAAAGGACCTAGAACCCCCTCTCAGATGTAGTCCATAGGTAGTTGAGTCTCCAAGTAAGTTCCCTAATAAGGGGAACAGGGTCAGTCTCTGTCATGAGCTCTGTTGCCTGCTCTTTGGTCACTTCTCCCTGGCGGAGTGGCCTTACTAGTCCACAGATGAAGCAGATCCAGGCAGTCCTGATGAGACTTGATAGACTAGGGTCAGATACTAGGGGAGAGGACTCCTCCCTTTTAGTGTACTATGGAAGAGGGATGGGGGGAAAGAGGTTGGGAGGGTGAGTCTAGGAGGAGATGAGGGAGGGACTACAATAGGGATACAATGTGAATAAATTGTAAAAAAAAATAAGAAAATATTACTAAAAATAGAAAAGAAAGAGAAAATAAATCAGAAGAACAGTGATATTGCTTCTATGCGGTTTGATGAAGATAGACTCACAAAGGCATTTGTGTTAGCCAATTAGCCTTGTTCCCACTCAGAGCACACACCTCGCATTCATTTCTTGGCACCACCCAACTATTTCTGTTTGTGTAAAGAATCGATTTTAATCAAATCTACTCTTTTATGCTCCTCCAGACTTATGGCACCAGTGTTGTCATACCAATATGGGAAAACAACTTCTCTCATTTCACATATTCTTTTGAGCCCCTATTAATAGTAATGTTATTTAACAAAGGAAAACATTGTATTTTCCTATCTCTGATTACTGTAATATTTCTACATGTGTAGTTATTCAAAACTGAAAATCTTAATGTATGTTTGTTAGTTACACTTTGGATTTTAAACAATCAGGTGAAAAGCTGCAGAAAATTAATTTTAAAATATTTGTTTAATATGCACATTTAATATTGGTGAGGTAGCTGCTTGATTCTTTTCTTCTATGTATCTTAATCAATACTATCCACCTGAAGTCACCTGCAGTACTGAAAATGTAAAACAATTTTTGTAAAATGTACAACCAAGAATTTCTTCTTGGTCATGACAAATCTGTAACAATTGGCTCTTGTCTCAGTTTGTTTGAAGTTTCCATATTAATAGACTTATGTTATGTGTTATTCATTGATTTGTTGTTGTTGTTGTTGTTTGGATCTTTCTAGGTGCTCCACTAATTGGTCAGGTACACAGTGTGAGAGGCCAGCCCCAAAGAGCAGCAAGTCTGAATACATCAGCACAAGTAAGTACCACAGAATACCTTTGTCTAAAAACTACAGAAGCTTTTCCATCATCTCTTAGGTGATCACTGAGGGATGTGAAAATTCAAAGGATAACAACAATCTCATATAATTAGAAAAATGTATAGTCTTAACACCTTTGAGGCACTTTTGAAAACAAAACCTGATTGGTCAGGCTATAAAGAATTAAATTAAATTCTGAGGAATTAACTTTTCTCTCTTATCTGTTGTTTATTACACTGCAGTTTCAGAGTCCACAATATGAAAAGTCCACAATATGAAATAAGTAAGAATATACATAGAGGAAGAGGAAAATTATATTCCTGATTAAGATCCGTAAATATAACCATTCATATCATGAGACACAAACAAGAATCATACTATTTCAATATATGTAAAAGGCAAAGATAACACTTAGATAAAGCTAATATGATTTTGTACATTAGTAATAAGTCTCAATGCTAATTTATCTATATATTCCCTAATTTTGCTTCCATATAGATTCTCCAAGCAACAGTGTTCAAATTTCTAGTGCTTGGAAGTTATGTTTAGTTAATAAGCAGGAACATTTTTTAAAACAGTGGTTCTCAACCTTTCAAATGCTGCAACCCTTTAATACAGTTCTTCATATTGTGGTGACCCTCAACTTTAAAATTATTTTAGTTGTTACTCTATCACTATAATTTTGCTACTGTCATAAATTGTAATTTTAATAGTTTTGGAGATAGAAGTTTGCCAAGAGCGTCACTACCCTCAGGTTGAGAGCCATTGTTCTAAAAGACTATACTGGGCACTAATATTATAATCTGAATAAATAAATTGTGTGTTCTTTGGTCACAGAATATTTAGATTTTCTTTGTGTTTGCTGTGAATGTGTGGATAGGACTACAGTGCTAACATTTGGGGAATTGTTTTACAAAAGTATATATGTGGCAAGAGATATTTAGACTAATTTTGTACATTAATGATAGACATATAAAATATTTTATTGTTTCTATCAAAAATAGAACTCAAAATATTATTAATATAAATTTATGAGGGTGAATTAATATAAATGTAATGTTTTAAACTATTTAAACATCATGTTAATCATCAAGAACATTTAAAAATGATAACATGCAGTTGAAATTTAGTAGAAAACACAGAATTTTAAAGGCAAGATTGCTATAACTTGCTTTCATCCTTCCTTTAGTAAAATTTCTCAATGATCTAGTTTATAGAAAGTACAGATTCATTCACAGGAAAAGTAATGTTAAATATTAGTGAATTTATCTAAAGGAAATTATGAATGAGATTAGAATGTCTACAAAATTTACAACATTTTTCTTTTTAATTTATTAAAATTTTATATTAGAGTTTATTCACTTTGTATCTCAGCTGTAACCAACCCCTTCCTTAGTCTCCTCCCAATTTCACCCTCCCTTCCTTATCTCCTCCCATGCCCCTCCCCAAATCCACTGATAGGAGAGGTCCTTCTCCCTTTCCTTCTGACCCTAGCCCATCAGGCCTCATCAGAACTGGCTGTATTGTTTTCCTCTGTAGCCTGGCAAGGCCGCTCCCACCTCAGGGGGAGGTGATCAAAGAGCCAGCCACTGAGTTCATTTCAGGCAGGCCCTGTTCCCCTTACTAGGATACCCACTTGGAGACAGCTGCCATGAGCTACATCTGTGCAGGAGCTCTAGCTTATCTACATGAATGGTCCTTGGTTGGAGTTTCAGTCTCAGAAAATGCCCCTGGGCCCATATTTCTTGGTTCTGTTTCTCTCCTTGTGGAGCTCCTGACCCCTCCAGGTCTTTCTATCTCCCATTTCTTTCATAAGATTTCCTCCACTCTTACCCACAGTTTCTCCCCATTTTTCTCCTCCCAAACAACTGACATTTTATAAAGCTTCAGAATTAACCTAGGCACCTAGGTAGCACAAGTTATATATAAAGCTTTTATTCTATCTCTAAAATTGAATCAAAGAATGAATTCTTAGCATATTTCTTTCTATTTTTTCATCTCTTTTTCCTCAGTCGTTTCAAATTACCAGCTCATTTATACAGCTTACACACACCTCCTAACATACCTTTTGGTTTTCTGCATGCCACATGTCCTCCCAACTATCCATTCCTCTCTCCAATCTGGTCGTTGTTTCCCTGTTTTTTTTTTGTTTTTGTTTTTTTTTTTTGTTTTTTTTTTTTGTTTTGTTTTTGTTTTTTTTGTTGTTTTTATGTTCTTAGGGGGTTAGGAGTACCTGCCCTTTAGGTCTCAATGGCTAGTTCTTATGCTACTCAGACAAGCTAGATATGCAGCCTTTATGTTCTCAGGCATTGTCTACTTTCTATAAAGTAGTATTTAAGATGCAATACATTTTATTGTTGTGGTTTTGAGACAGGATCTCTATGTATCCCTGGCTATCCTGGAACTTGCTATGTAAACCAGATTAGCCTCAAAATCACAAAAATCTGCTATTGTCCTTCTGTGCCCCTGTATCCCTGCCCCTGCCCCTGCCCCGTCCCTGCTCTGCCCCTGCCTCCCAAATGCTATACATAAGAGCGTGTACCACTATGTTCACACGATTTCATGTTGAGTCAACCTGTTGGTTTCATCATCAAGTACATGAGAAGAAGTACATTCAAATCCACATAGCAAAGGTAAAGTTCAGTTTAAGATGTATCTGTTAAATGAGAATTGAACATATGGGCTTCAGTTCATCTTAAGAACTGACTGTACTTGAGATTTTGATCTTAGCCATTCTGGTGGTGTAAGATAGAATCTCAGAGTCATTTTGATTTGCATTTTCCTGATGAGTCAGGACATTAAGCATTTCTTTAACTGTTTCTCCTCTATTCACTATGCCTCTGGTGAGAAAGCTCTGTGTAGCTATGTAACCCATCATTTTTTTCCTTTTTATTTATTTGATTTTATTTATTACAATTTATGCACTTTGTATTCCAGCTGTAACCTCCTCCTTTATTTCCTCCCAGTACCACTATCCCTCCCTTTTCTCCCATGCTCCTCCCCTAGTCCAATGAAAAGGGAGGTCTTCCTCCCCTTCCATCTGACCCTAACCTATCAAGTCTCATCAGGACTGGCTGCATTGTCTTCCTCAGGACGGATAAGCCTACTCCCCCGCTTAGGGGAAGGTGATCAAAGAGACAGTCACTGAGTTCATGTCAGAGACAGTTCCTTGCTCCCATTACTAGGAACCCACTTGGAAACCAAGCTGCCATGGCAACATCTGTGCAGGGGTTCTAGGTTATCTCCATGAATGGTCCTTGGTTGGAGTATCAGTTTCAGAAAAGACCCTTGAGCCCAGGGTTTTGGTTCTGTTGCTCTCCTTGTGGAGCTCCTGTCCCCTCCAGGTCTTTCATCTTCCCCTTCTTTCATAAGATTCCCTGCGCTCTGCCCAAAGTTTGGTTATGAGTCTCAGCATCTGCTTCCATACCCTGCTGGGTAGAGTCTTTCAGAGGCCCTCTATAGTAGGCTCCTGTCCTGTTCCATGTTTTCTCCTTCTGATGTCTATCCAGTTTTCCTTTCTAAATGAGGACTGAGCATCTTTGGTTTGTTAGAGTTCTTTATATATTCTGGATATTAGTCTTCTGTCAGATGTAAAGCTGGTGAAGATCGTTTCCCAGTCTGTAAGATTTTGTTTTGTTGATGTTGTTTTATTATCTTGACCTTGTCCTTTCTGTTACAGAAATTTTTCAGTTTCATGAGGTCTCATTAAATGATTGTTGATCTTAGAGCCTGAGCTCTTGGTGTTCTATTCAGGAAATTGTCTCTGGTACCAATGCATTCAAAGCTTTTCTCCACTTTTATTTTCTAACAGATTTAGTGAATCTGGTTTTATGTTGGGGTCTTTGAAGGGACAACACATGCTAGAGAGAATGTGGACAAGGGGAAACCCTCCTCCATCACTGGTGGGAATGTAAACTTGTACAACCACTTTGGAAATCAATCTGGCACTTTCTCAGAATATTAGGAATAGTATGACCTCAAGACCCAGCTATACCACTCCTGGGCATATACCCGAAAGAGGCACAACCAGACAACAAGGACATTAGCTCAACTAAGTTCATAGCAGCTTTATTCATAACCAGAATCTGGAACCAACCTAGAATTCCCTCAACCATAGAAAGGATAAAAAACAATAGTGCTACATTTACACAATGGAATACTACTCTGCTATTAAAAAGAAGGAAGTCATGACATTTTCAGGCAAATGGATGGAACTAGAAAAAATCATCCTGAGTGTGGTAACCCAAAAGCAAATAGACATGCATGGTAACATACTCACTTATAAGTGAATATTAGCTATATAACATAGGATAAACATACTAAAATGCAGAGAAGCTAAACAACAAGTAGAACCCTAAAGAAGATGCTTAATAGTCATTCAGAAGGGAACACTACTAGAGATGTCTTCTAAAAGACTCCATCCAGCAGGAGATCAAAGCAAATGCAGAGACTCACAGCCAAACATTGGATAAAGTACAGGGAATCCTATGGAAGAAGGGGCATATAGAAATAACCAGAGAGCACAGGAGAACCTAGAGAAGAGACAGTCTCTGACATGAACTCGAATGTCCACTCCTTGTTCATTTCCCAATGGTGGGGTGGCCTAGCCAGCCCACAGAGGAAGAGGATCAAGGCAGTCCTGATGGAATCTGATAGGCTACAGTTAGACAGTAGAGGATGAGGACTTTCCCTGTCAGTGGACTATGGGAGAAGGATAGGGAAGTAGGAGGGAGGGAAGAAGGGTGGGACCAGAAGAGCCTACAACCAGTATACAAAATGAATAAATTGTAATAATAATAATATACAAAATAGAGAAAAGAAAAAAAATCACACACACACACACACACACACACACACACACACACACACACACACAAAACTGACCATAATATTTGTAGAGGAAAAAGAGGTAAAAGTTTTGCCCTAAAAGGGAACAAAAATGATTTGAATAAATATATTGTAAAATGTGTAAAATATGAGCACAGAGAGTGTTATTATGAAATTATTCCTTCAGTAAGTTTACAATACTTTCTACATTATCAGTGCAGTGAAATATAAGATAATGACCAATGATAACCTGTATTTTATTGCTGAATAACCTGAGACAATTTGTCCAAGACAACGTTGCCAGTATGCTTCGATAAGAAGTAGCTTGACTCATTGTCTGTGGTTTCAGGTGAAATGCAGGAAAGAACAAATGTTCAGAACCACATCGCAAGGAAGACCTATTCTGTTGATTATGACGTTGTTGAGCTGCTTCCCTCAGGACTCTCACACTTTGAATCCGTTTACAACAACCCACTTACTGTGCTCTGCAAAAAATAATTTTGATAGCTTAGATTCTTACATACTAAAAATATACTGAGTACATTGAAATTCACTTATTTTTAACTGTACATAGATCTTTCAATACGATATACCATGATTATGGGTTCTCCTCCTACAATACTCCCAGGTCCTAACTTACTTCCCCACTCTCCCAACTTCCACAACATTTCTTTCTCATTAGGATACAAATAAGCATCTGAAAATAACGATAAAATAAATTTAAATAAAATAAAAACAGACAAGAATAGGACAAAACAAACAGAAGAAAAGGAGTCAAAGGAAAAGGTTTTGATTAACTATGTATTTTAGAATGCTCTTTTTTGTTTTGTTTTGACTTTTGCTTATGGAGACAGGGTTGCTATGTGTAGCCTTGGCTCTTCTGGACTAGCTTTCTAGAGCAGGCTGGCATCTGCCTCCCTTTGCCTCCCTGAGTGCTTGGATTACAGGTTTCTGCCACCACGCCCGGCTGTATATTTTAGAATTTTTTAAAAATTTATAATATCAGTTGTTTCTATTAATGTTTTACAAAAAAATGAAGACAAAATGCTGTCTATATTATTTATCATCAACACTAAACATTATTGCAGTTACCTTGATTGGTTGCATAAACAAACCAGATGTCTGGGCTCTTAAACAGAGCTCTGTAATGTATAGGGATTTCAGCTACCATCTGTAGTGGAAAAATTAAAAGGAAAAAGAGATGCTTAGTTTTCTTGCATGCATAATTAATAATGCTAACATATGGAATAGCAGAGACTAGTTAGAATAGGTAAATATATGAATTTATAAATAATTTACCATTACCTGGAGAAGTAAGAAATGTTGCCCACTTTGAGGCTATTAGTTGGCTTATACACTAACTGCTGTTCTAAGGTCTAACAGAAAAAGAATATATAATGACATGGTAATATTTGTCAAGTTAAGATCAGTCGGTTGAAACCATTCATTAATAGGAAACAGACTTGTTTCTTGGTATTTAACATTTATAAACAACTGTTAATTACTTCATAGCTGCCTGATATCCTCCTGCCTTAATTAATTACTGTGAAATTACACATTCACATAATGTTCACCTCACCAGGAACAAAGGTAAAAATATAATATCAAACTCATTACCTTGTATACTGAAGCTCATAAGAAAGAACAGAATGAGTTTTATATTTTAGGTGAATAAAAATGGAAGCCATATATGTAGAGATATATGTACATGTATCTGTCAGTACATATTTCTTCCTCACGTTACAAGCTGGGATGATAACATACATGAATTTTTTTAAGTGAATACCTTCAAAATTTTGGTAATTGATCTCCCGTAGTCTATCTCAGTTACATATCTTCTATCTGTAACTATTGAAACATCAATCTCTCTGATAAAGTGTCTGCACATTGTATATAACGTGATGATTAACATCTCTGCTAGCATTTAAAAAACATGCATATGCAGAGAAAATTTCATATACTATAGTAACTTTTGATACTCTATTCATACATGTTTGTGATCTTTAAATTTTAGTTAAAAGTTGGGTTGTATTGTTTCTCAGGCACTCGTTAGGTAAGCTATTTGGATTGAATCATTGAATGTCCATAGAAAGCCTGATTTAATGTACACTGGGTGTTACCAAGAAAAGTTAACACTGGCTGCTCAAAAGTGTTATGTAATACTTATGCAATGAAATGGCCCTTGAATCCAGCTTCTTTCTCCCATTCATGGTATATAATCCGAGAATACCACTCTAAGATTACATTGTCAGGAGAGCACAGCCATTCTAGAAGTGCCCCTGCCTAATGAAATCACTGCCCAACCAGACTTCCCATCTAGCAATAAAAGGTAATGCTTCTCTGATTTTTTATGATAGATGAAGAAAAACTGAACACACCATTTAAAGACAAGTATTAAATTATAGACACTAAGATTATTTCCATGATTATAAAACCAAAAGAAAACATTATCAACATAAGTCAAGGCTCCATAAATGCATTTCTGAAACTATTCTTAAGTTGGGATTGAAGAAAGAGAACACTAACTGCTGATTTGTTTATTTATTTAATAAACAAACTAACAGCTGTTTAATACTTCTTCAAAACTTAGTATGTATTCATCTTATGTTATCTGTAAAACGTTTGTCTACATTTATGTATGAATATTCTCCACTGGGTGTGCCTGAACATTGAACAAGCATCAGACCTTTAACTACTCTTCTTGGCAATAATTTAAAAGTGAAAGCATAAAGCAGAGTTTAGGCGACCTACTCAACATCTCCCTCCAAAGAAATCCATGGAACGAATGCTTCCATGATAAAGCTATCGTGTCTGTGGGACTTTACCTTGCTGCCATTTGACTTGCCTCCAGTACAATGGGTAATCAGAGGTGTGGCTTACAGAACTGTATCTTATTTGTGGAACTGTGGTCAGTAAAATTTAATGTAAATAAATTCAGACATCACTGACTTACAATGCATACTTTCATCATTGCATATTCATAAAAGTGATGGTAATCAGTAAATCAGAATTATAAACTGTCTCTAAATGTCTGGTTTGTAAATGCAATTTATAAATATATCTAACCAACCATTCCAACAGACTATTTGGTAAGATGTTTTTAGTAAAATAGTTATGACCTCAGAATATGACCACTTATTCCATGCTTTATTTTTATTCATATTAGTGTTGAAATGACTTAGCGTGACAGGTTAGTTATAATAATCTTTACATCACTTTATTTGTTCATCAATAGATCAATTTTATTTCCAGGAAGCATTGCTATCATCGTGCCTCTCGTCCTCCTGGTGACTTTGGTAACAACTCTAGTGATTGGTTTGGTAGTTTGTAGGAGAAAAAGAAGGTAAGATACCATGCTCCTGATTTACCTGTACTGACTGACCCATATGAAAATGGAAAAAATATTACAGAATTTTTCTTTAAAGACAGGGTTAATTATTCCAATTATAAAACTATTTCTCAATTTATTTACTTTTTATTTCTTTTAAATTTATTATAATTTTTACAAGTATTCCTTTGTTTTATGTTAACGGAATCACTCCATGTATATAGGTTGATGATACTAACATTGGCATATCAATGACAATCATGTACAATTTTACATTTCTAGTGATTTTTTTCCTTGCATATCTGCAGATTTTCTTACTACTTTACTGTATAGAATTGTTGGTATAAGTCTATTATTTACTATGCAAGAATGTCATAAAATGTACTCTTAATGGACAAATGTGCATAAATTTACTTTATCTTCCTAGAAGTGGAAGTGCTTTAGTTTATAAAAATGTGCAGCTTTATAGATGTGGATTAATCTGGAACATGAGAGTTTGTGAATTAATATTCTAGCCACTGAGTTGGAGGTTAAAAACAAGATATTGAAAAGTTTCTTTATCATATTGTTGTTAATTTTCAAGCCAGAGAAAAAACTAGAAATTTAATTTATACTTGAATTGTGAATTTTCCACTAACGTAATATTGTGTTCAGGAGAATTTTATTTCTAATATGTTCTTATGCATCATTAAATCATATTCGTTGAAAATAAGTGGTCAAATTATGAGTTTTTCTGTTGCTTTGCAATTTGAAAAATCTCAATTATTAAAATTTTCTTCATTGTATTTCAGTAGTAATATCTTTTCAGTTGTACCATGTCAGCAGCAAATCAGTAAATGTTTTAATAGTTTAAAACTTAAGTTGTGATGACTGTACAATCGATACTTAAATTTATGTCCATATGTTGTAGAACAAAGACAAGTAGAAGACAGCCCATCATCAATGGAGGAATAAATGTGGAAATTGGGAATCCATCCTACAATATGTATGAAGTGGACCATGAACACAGTGGTGGAGGTCTTTTAGAACCAAGTTTCATGATAGATACAGTGAAGGTAATATGTCTTGAGATTATGAGCAGAAAATACTAACATTCCTGAGTCAAAAACCCTGAGGATTTCTTAATTTAATCATATATTTGAAATATTTACAATTAAAATGAAGACTTTTAAGAGATATTGAGTTATCTGGGCTTTTCTAAAGGAAAATATATGGGACATACTACTTAATACTGCATGATTTAGAAAGATGTAATCACATACTTTATAAAGATACAACTTTCTTTAATATAATAGCATAAATTTTGTGGAGTGCTAGCATCTCTAATATATAACAAAATGTAAAAAGAAAGCATAATATTTTTCATTATGAAAAAACTTTATTTGGTTCAATTTCAAAACTGTGTTTTGTTGAATTGAACTCATTTATGTTAGAGTCTTTTCCAAAACCTCTTCTCAATACATCTGAGTTTGTTTAATATTAACAGTTAATGTTGAAGTGTTTAATATAATATGTTCTCTAGGATTTCTATGCTCTTCTAATGTTGATGAATAATACAATTATTAAACATATTATGAATATGAGGATAACAATTGAATAATTCTACCTTTTGACTCAATGGAATGTAAAGCAATGACCTTGCACAGAGACTGTTTTAGTCTTAAGTGTAGATTTCTAAGCAAAAATTTTAAATGGATATGTGAATCTTAAAATTTTATCTTTATCTTAAGATTACAAAGTGATGATGAATCATTAGATAAGGATAGATATCTGAATTCTGAATTTTCAGTGTCAAAAACTTCACTGGTGTGATTTCCAGCCTTAAACAGAACTAGACATGCTTTAAGCAGAGCATGTGTCGGGAACCTGGACTTAACTGAGGTTCTCACCGCTGAGATAAAGATCTTAAGTTCTGCATGTTGACATATGCCTTCTGGTGTGGCCTGTGGTTAGGAATATTTTTGTATTAGTCGTAGCATTTAATTACATCTTATATCAGTGAAAAAAATGTGTCCATGACATTAGATGAGATGACATTTTCTGTTTATGTGCAGTCCAGGTACATAGGGGGAGGGCCCAGTGCGTTCAAGCTCCCACACACAGCACCGTCCATCTACCTAAACTCTGATTTGAAAGGACCACTAACTTCTGGGGTGAGAGAAACAGCGCATCTTTTTCCTTCCCATCCCATTGCGAACCCTCGTCATTCACAGACCCATGCTTGACTTGGACAGAACTTGCCTTTATCGTGGTTTTAATTAACACGAGTTTGCAGAGCAGACTTCGTGGTGTATTCTTTCCATGCAAGATGCTCATAAAGCTTTTTACCAGTTTAGGTCAGTTATTAAGTAGATAGTGCTTCCTCTATGCGATGTGAATGAATTTTAAAATCTGTGGGCAGCCAGAGTGATGAAGAGAAACTTAAAGTGAATTAATTTAAATTTGCTTTAATTGTAGGTGGGTATTTAGATGGATTTATATATAAATATTATATTTGTATGAGGTGAAGCTAAATTACAATATACTTAAAATACTGAAATAGATCACCGTTTTGACAAATTAGAGCTGGCCGAAATAAATCAAAGTTATTGTTTTAAGATTTAGTTACAGGGTTTAGAGAAAGCTATTCTGTCCATAGTCACAAAGCTCATTTAGGCAGAGCAATAGATCATGAACATACAGGTTCCACACACCTCTTGCTCCTGACCATCAAGACCTTTCCATTCTCACTGTCTGTCCTACAGTGTCTCTTTTGCATGCTATAAGACTACATGTTCCCTTGCTGTAACTAAGGATAAGATACTGCATTAAAAAAAAATAAACATACACACACATACAAACAAACTAAACCAAAACTCCAACAAAAATAAAAATGAATTGGCACTTTCTTAAGTCTATTTAATAATGAATATTGAATATCATTTCTAACTTAAGTTTCTTTAATAATGAATATTGAATATCATTTCTAACTGAAAGAGCTTGCTTCTGTTGGCCTTGAGTTTGCTTCGAACTCAACAACACCTGTAAAACCTCAGGTGACTGTGAATTCAAGACTACTTGGAAGATTTCAGAGATAATTCCAACACAAGTACACATAGGATGTTTGAAGCAAAAATGGTGTCTTTATATTAGGGACACCATACTGATACATTTTGCTATTTTGGCTTCTCTTCATTTACTTATGTTTAATTCACAAGAAGAGTAAACTTGTCAGATGTTTTTGCATCTGTACTTTGCCATCTGTCGACTTGCACCAATAGTCAGAGGTGAAAGGCCAAATATCCTTGTAACATGACAATTAAATTTAACATTTTGTGTTAAAGCTATGGTAAGTATAACTTTGAAAAGGACATACTGCCTTTTACGTTTTATGTAAAAGCTTTTGTTTGGCTGCAGGCTACCTTAAAAATGTAGTTATATTTGTACATTAAAGTAGACTAAAATCTATGGACATAAAATTTACATTACATGTTGTTATCAAAAATAAATATTTTACAGAATAACTAATGTGGTCAAAGGGATAGTAAAATTAGATTAATTTTCTTTCTCCTTCAGCCAACAAATTATTCTAATCCAGTATATGCAAAATTGTATATGGACGGACAGAACTGTCGAAACTCCTTAGGAAGTGTTGATGAGCGGAAAGAACTGCTTCCAAAGAAAATTGAAATTGGCATCAGAGAAACAGTGGCATGATGCAGGACATTTTTCTACGCTGTATAAATGTATAAAATATAAGGATTACTTTTGTATGTTCCAACAGTATTATACTTATTTTAGCTTCAGCATTATTTCTTTATCCTTTTCCTGGTTAATTATTTTCTGAGTTTTGGGGGTTTTATTTTATTTTATTTTATTTTTGCTAATGAATATTGATTCACCATTTTTATGGTATTTTTATGAAAAAAATAACTGCACTACACTACAACTTACAACAATGCTGCTGATATGACACACCTTTGAATTTGTTAAAAATTAAAAACAACATATTCCTTTGTAGAGTTAATATGAGCAATCTATTTTATATGAATTTTTGGTTCTACACAATCAGCAAAGCACTCTCCAACTTAGCATCCTATTGTCTGATTACTGTAACACAATGCCATTGTATTTTCTGTTGAATTGAAAGGACAAACTCTCTTCTTAAGGCCCATAAACCTGATTCAAACTTGGCTGAAAACACATAGTCCTTAGAAGTTCAGCATCTCTTGCTTTGGAATCAGAGTCAGGAGACAGAGAAATACCTGGAATTTTTGAGTAAAAAAAAAAAAAATTAATTTAAAACCTACATAATATTAATAATTTGCATGAATACAAATTACTTATTTTCCAAAAAATTAATAGCCTCTGTGATACAAACCATATACCCCATGTAACAATAGTAATTTTTAGCTTGATAGAACATAGCAAACATGTAACTAGAACAGGACTAATAGAACTTGCTGAGGAACAGGACTAGTATTTCTCCTCAGTCCTGAGGCACACAGCCAGCCAAGAGCACAGCAGTACATGGACCCTCATTTTTTACATTTTCCTTTCCAAGCGTGTTCATATTGTGTGTGAATATCACCCTTAGTCATGCTGAGCACTGGAAAACCACACACAACCACACAAAATGACACCAAACTTTCAGTTTTGTGAATGCACTCTCTTTGGTAGGTCAAAGAGAATTTCCTCTGTGTAAAGTATTTTCAAGATATGATATGACTAATGAATTGTCCTCCCAATTCAACAATGACTCATGGAGCTTTCAAGGTATAAAAATAATCTGCCATGATGCCAGGTAGAGAGTCTGCTCTATGCCATTAGCATTGGTAATTTGGTTTCTCTTTGGTTATACAAAACACACAGACCCATTCACATTGTTTGTTTTCAAAATTTGATTGTAACAAATATGGTTTATTTAAGTTGTATAAAAAGATAGCATTTTTATACAAATATCTTTAAAGGCACAAAAGTTTTATTCATAAGCTGTGAGGGGTTTTTGTCCCTCTGATAGACATGACTGACTTTTAGCTGTCATAATGTATTAATCTAACAGATGAAATATGTTTGTGGTTGCTCTCTATCCCTTTGTACAAGCATTAAAAACTGCTGTTTTATAAGGAAACTTTTTGTTGTACTATGTGCATGCATACTACCTATTTCTAAACTTTGCCATACTGAGGCCTTTATAGAATATTGGTTTATGTAATACTTGTGTGATTTGCTTGAACAATGTTATGCATACCATAAACTTTTTCAGGTTCTTGTTTAAGTACATTTTTTAAATTGAACAGTATTTTTCATTTTGGTTATAATAGTCATTTTGCCTATGTTTCTACAATGAAGTGTTAAATACTTTATAAAAATTGTTGACTGACTTATTTAAATGAAATTCTACATATTTAAGTGCTTGTGTTTGGTAGTTTTTAAATTGATAAATGTCCATCCACTATATGGTTTAAATATTCTAATATTAACTTCAAACGCATTTTAGAGAGAAGGAAAAATGTCACTGAATAATTTTCCACAGCATACCTTTTTGTAAGTGGTGATTAATATTTACTATTGGCTTATCTTCTGTTAATGCTGCTGTTAATCCTCAGCAGCTGTATAACCAAATCACCACACAGAGACTGGGTTTTTAGTTATCCTAGAACACAATGCTGGGCAATATTTACTCCCTCCTAAACCTCCAAGCCCTCAGTTTCCTAGCATTTACATTTCCCACATTATACTTGCTTTTTGTGAAATCTTAGGTCTGGTTCATGCTCCACGTCTTCCAAGATCTCTCCTCCAGCTCTGCTCTCCCAGCTCTTCTCTTGCCCCTTCTCCTCACACTTCATCTCCTGCCTTCTGGCTTCTCCCCTCTTTCCTGTCCTTTGGCTCCTCCCTGCTCAACATTGTGTCTAGTTGTTTTATTTTGTCCTGTTTACACAAGAGTTGAGACAGGATGCTTAGAATGAGTATCACAATGCAATATCCAGATTGAAACCAGAGAGTTGGGGGTGGGGGTGAGGGAGAAATCAGCATTTGAATTAACAAGGGTAAGGTGTATACATTAAAAAAACACATTATACCAACAATACCTGAAGAAGCATTTTCCCTTTTCTTTTGAAGTAGAAGGGTTTCCTTGCATTTACCTTTCACTAACTTCTTGTTATTATCATAGATTCCAAATTACAACACAAAGAAATATGTTACATACAGTGATGTAACAGTAACAAGTGATTATTATCCTTCTCCTTCCTAAAACATACACATCACAGGAAACTAAGAATCCTAAGATGTTGTTTAAACACCTCACTTTAAGTGGCATACTCAGTACTATTAGTCTGATACACGAATTTCTTCCGTTATTTTTAATATAAACCATAGCCAAACATATGGGAAGTGTAGCACACAAGGCCTATCATTAATGAGTTGTTTTCTTCCATTAAACATTTGTGAACACCACACTCAAGAGAGGTTTTTACTGAAGAGAGCCTTGAACACTGCCTACATCTCTGTTCACTAATGTTTCACTTTACCATGATGTGTAAAACTGTGCATCAGTGTCAATATTCATTTGCTGAAATTTTACATTTGATCTAGCAGAACAAAATATTTTAATTATCGGACCTTACTCTCTACTATTTCTGTTTTTCACTCTACTCTTATTATGTAAGTTCTACATAATTATATTTTGTATTTTTTACTATAAGCAGCTAAGTAAATGCTTTAAAAATCAAGTATACATATCTCCATAATGGCAACTTTTATCACTCACACTAACATTAATGCTTTCAGGGGAATTGTTTCAAAACATCTTTGCTGTAAGATGTTTTATTTATTTATTTATTTATTTATTTATTTATTTATTTATTTATTTATAAATCAATGGTTCCTAGTAAACCTGGCCTTTCTATAAATTTCTTTTCAGAGAACAAGGATTTTCAATCTCTCAAAATCTTAAACTGGGCAATTCTTAAGCTTTCCTTTCCAGGGTAGGGTATTCATCTGGATTACTGCACTCTTTTCACTAAGGAGATGATAGCAAAACATTCCACATTCCACAATGTTGCAGCAAGCTGTGGTGTCTAGAGATGTTGTCAACCATTTTTGGGGAAACACAGTTACCCAGGTTGAGGGAAGCTGGTATAGAGAAGCATGCTGTCTCTCACTATTAAACAACTCCAAGATGGATCAGAGAACCAAACAACCCCCTAACACAATCATGACATCCCCAAATTCAGTACTGGACATGAGGCCAGAAAGATGGCTCAGTAGGACAAGTCACAAGCCACCAATCCTGAAAACTGGCATTCAAACTCAGTGACCCATGCTGTGAAAAGAGAGTACTGATGTCTACAAGTTGCTTTTTTTTTTTACCTTTACACATGCTGTGGCATGAGCAAGACACACAAATGAATAAATAAAATTTATAAAAAATAGTTCTTTAAAATTTTCTGATGAAGGACATTAGAATTTAAGAATACTTGACTCTTTTGCAAAGCACCTGTACATGTTCCCAATTTCCAAATGGTAGCTCACAACAATATATAACTTCACCTTTAGGGAACCTAATACCCTCTTCTGATCTCTGTAGACACTGAATGCCATTGGTACACACAAATACACCCAGATAAAGTGCTCATTTATAAGAAATAGAAATAAAGTATTAATAAATACTGACGGTGCCAATGTTACAGTCACAAACTTTCTAGCACACCATTACTAAACAGAAAAAAAACATGTTTATTAGGATGTTGTATGTGTTTGCCAAAAATCAAGCCATTTTTATTTTTGTGTTTTGTTTTTATTTAAAAATTAGGTCTTGTTTTAGTTTTTATTTTATCGTTTTCTTGTTTTGATGACTCCAAAGTTTGAGATTTAATCTCACTCTTTTCTTGCAAAGGCATTGGATTCCATTTCTATGAAAACCCAAATATGAAGACTGTAAGTAATAATAGAACAGCATGGGTATTATAACTATAACATGCAAACCGCCACAGTTTCCAAATACCTAATAGGAAAATAATTTTATTTTTCCAAATGGTTGTTGAATTTATTTATTTCCTTGATCAATAATGGTCTTGGCAAAATTAGTTAACCAACATTGAGACACTGATAATGAAATTCGCATTAAAAAAAAAAAAACCATGATACCTTGATAGAAATTGGAATTTACACAAACAAAAAGAAGTCTTCAATATTGCCAGCAAATATCAAATAAATGTGGTATGTCTGACAGGATGCAGCAAGGCGTCTATGTATTTATATTTGACACCTGACCATATTTCCAGGTCTTCTCTCCAGATTAAAAAAAATAGTATGCTAATTTCAATAACAAAGGTTTCTTTTTTGTTGTTGTTCGGTACAAAAATCAAATAATGGCCAACATCACAACAGTGCAATAGGTAGAGGCTAAAAACAAACAAAAGAAAATCACATAAAACAGGTGCTGAAATAAACACTAACTAGGAGGAGTTTGGAGCCCTGTGTGGGCTGTTTCTCACTTTAGTGTGTGGGATTGCAGACAGGGCCACAGGGCACCCCCCCCCCCCATGGGGCCATTCATCTGACAGTGCGACCCAGAGTCAGGCCTCCAGACACCATGGAGCGGTCATCTGACCTAGAAGCAAACACCAGATGAGGGAATTGCCACTGTCGTTTTCCCCCTACTGCTCAGTTCTGTCAGAGGGAGTCCATATGCAGCTGCTGGTGTAGAAAGTTAAAACTCCTGTGTGAGAGCATCTGCGTGGCATTTTCTGGCAGAGCTGTGTGCTCCAGTCACTTCTGTGCCTGCCTTGTGGACTCTCGTGCTTTTGCCAGCCCCGCAGGGTCTTTGGCCACTCTTGCTT